CTCCAGAGTGTTGTTCAGCATGGGGGTGAGTAGAAAATGAAGGCTAATCATGTTTTGGGTGTACTATTCCTTTAAGCCTTTAAAGACATGACAGCTATCATCTGATCCCCTCTCAAATGTTCTGCCATCAGCTTGAGTATATGTCACTTGTGAATAGGGGTGTAAATAATAATCATTTTGTATCAATGCATCGATCAAACAGCCGATGATCCGATGCATTGATACGTCAGTAAGAGTATCAATTCATGTTTTTTTTTTCCCTGCGGTCGATTTTTATCCATTTGCTCATGGACTTAAGTCCGACTCCCGTACTACGGTGGAGGTAAACCTATTTTGCCCTCCTACCTCGCTTCCTTCAACCACTACCCTCTTTCCACTTGCGCACACGCTTCTTACCATTTTCTGCTAGTGCATTTTTGCACTGATTTTGTTGAGTATTGTTATTCTATAGTGAATATAGTACAAGCCTATTTTTGCTACTTAATCTGCTAATGAGCTTACACACTCATTGCAGTATTTTTTAAAGCAAGGCCTTTCAGAATCTTTAAAACAGAGACATTATTTTTCAGTGAGTGAGGTTTTCATAGGCCTAGGTGGAGTATAACTTTAATACTTCTGTTATTTGCTGTTTCTCGAATAAAATGCATAATGATATTACAGCTTTAATTGCTTTATTTCCAATTTGAAACTTTGTCTAGCCTTTAAGGTAAAAAAAAATTAAGCAATTAATAGAACCAAATCGTGATGTATTCTTGAGTATCGAAAATAATCGAATCGGGTCAGGAAATTGATACTGAATCAAATCGCCATGGAGGGTGTGTTTATAACCCTACTTGTGAACTAATTACTTATGGGCCTTTTGAGCAACTAGATGTTTGAATCCCTTAATATTTTTTCCACTTTTTCCCCATAAACTTCAAAACATGTTATTGGGAATTAATGAGTTAGAAGTAGTGAAGTGGAAAGAGAATTACATATGTAAATCAAACTACAGCCAGAGCTATATTGCATACACCATCTGGCTGTGAGTTTATGGCCATCACCCTGGTGGGCAGTGAACCTCTTCCTCAGTCTCAAGTCATTCGCAAACTGCAAACCAGACTTATTACAACCACCTTTAAACAATTGCCTCCTTCTTTATATCCTTCTGTTAAAGGTCATATTATTGGGGTGCATGACTACTAGTAGGGTGTGAGTGGCGGCCTAGTGGTTAGGGCAAAAAGGTTGGAATCCTGAGGTTCTGAGTTTGAGCCCCACTCCCACAGACTGCTGCTCTGGGTCTCTTAGCAAGACCCCATACTGCTCCCCAGGCACCCCACAATGGCAGCCCACTGCTCCCCAAGGGGATGGATTAGATGCAAATTATTAAATACTTATATATAGTAGATTCCCGCCACCTTGCTGTAGCAGCTCCTCCAAAGTCACCACAGACCTCTTATGAGCTAACAGCTATGTCCTGAGACATTCAAAGGGGATTAATAATCCACAGTATCCATTATATTTAACACAAGGCCCAGCACATACAATAAAACAAAACAAAAACACTTAAAATAATGTTAAAGTCTAGACAGAACAAAAAGGGATAAACCGACAATAATAGCATAGTTAACACAAAACTTTCATGAATGAAAATGAAAGTGACAGGAATACACAGATGGATGGTTATCAAGCTTTCCTTCAAAGACCAATTAGTTTGAATCAAACCAGACTTCCGGTTTAGCCTGGCATCGACTTACTAAGTCTGTCAGTCAAGGTTAACTGAAAGGTTGCAGCTCCGCAAGTGTATTGCCATAAAAAAGAAATCACACCTTGTAATAATGCTACCAACTGTGCTACTTCCTTGAACGAAACATATATAAAAAAAAATTTTTAAATCAGCCCCGACTTGACTAGGGGGAAATATTGCTACTTTGAAATGACGTTTGTGAAATATAAAGTTTAAATCCGATACGGATAGGTATATTCGGACTATTTTGATTTATTTTTCACCGTATATCAAGCTAACCTTCTCCCACGATGACCTGCAGTCGGGGTATGTCGTGCTAACTGTGTTATAAAGTAGTTTGGGAAGGTGAACCGGGGGGCCTTAACAGCCAAGGAATTAGATAATCAGTTCCCACGGTGCTTAAATGTAAGCGAAACATGGCAAAGAAACGCAAAGGGGGGAAACTACTTACCGAGAATTAGGGTTGTTCAATCCACCACAGTGAGATTAGCAAAGGTTGGAGGCAGCCGGTGTAGGACGATATGGAGGAGATACTGCATTGACACCCTGTTGACCTCAGTACCGCAGGACCCGGATCCTAGCTGTCTATTAATCGCCTGACGAAAATTAGACAGAGATGGAAACACCATTGACCTTTTTTGTTGCTCAATTAGAAATCTATTTTATGAATTCTCCAACGCAACATTTAAACGCTCTTATTTATATTTAGTACCACGATACGGCTAATTTCTATTTAAAGGACACAGGCAGCTTTAGGCTAGCTAAGTCACTATGGTAACCAATGTGCTAATGCTAGCCTCAAAGCTAATGGGAGGATTTAAAAATGCTTTTCTAATGTGCATATTCATAAAGTTTTATTCGTAATATTTTCTAACTATATTTTAATCCAAACGTAGAAAACCTTTATTTAAATGGCCGTGTTGAACGAATGAACCATGAATTTTGGTTCAAAATTGAAATTGTAATAAACATTTGCATTTTTGAAATATTAAGTTAATAATACTTTTATTGACAACAAAGAAAAGTTGATAGTAATGGGAAAACCTTAAAAAACTTCACATGCTATAGTTCTTTATCTGGGTATAAATATAACTGTACTGTAGAGGTCAGGGGTCAGTGATAAAATTGATTTATAAAGTAGGGTTATTTTGTAAAAGAGGATCTAAGCTTTAAACCTTTTTTCTGTCTATCTTATAGCATTTAAACATCTACAAACCTATAAAATGTACTTTTAAAGGCTATATAAAAAGATCCAGACAACAGTGTTTTTTTCAGTCCTTTAATGACAGCTCAAAAAAATGAGTTGCTGAACACATCAACCCTTTTTGCATGAAATAATACTTGAGTTGTTCAATAGATTATGTTTCTATTAGTATCTTTCAGTAATTGAAACATACAGCAGCACACATTAAAGTCTACGCTTCACACACTGTTTTTCAAACATATCGTTCAAAGCAAATGTAAACCTATCTACATGTTTTTACATTGGGGAAGTATAAAAATATCTATCGACAATCAAAAATAAATATACACATATACATTAAGATTTCTCTTAAGGGTCAGTTTGGTACAGATTAAAATCAGGAATATTGGAGAAAGGACAAAACTTGGTCATAGTCTCCTAATTCTTAGTATGTGGAAATGTATTGCACCTAAAATGACACAGATATAGGACAGTAAATATGGAAACATTTCTAGAGAAATTTCTCAATTGGTAAGAAGGAAACATTTTAAGACATATTTTAGGGAATTCAAGAGTTTCTTTTCCCCCAAAGTATTTGGCTGATTATTAAATTTTCTTCAAGGTTTTCCTTACTATGAAATTAGATTGTATTAATATCAAAATAAAGCATGATCTTAAGAAATACGGATGGCATTGATGAAATCTATGTCTGATGATTAATTACAAAAATTAATTAACTCAATTTCTATGGAAAATACTAAAATGCAATCCATGCTACATAAAATTACATCCTTTTTGAAAAAAAAAAAAAAAAATCAGTGTTTGTATCAGATGTTTTCAGTTAAACACTAAATTATGAGTTTGTAGTAGATTAAGTCTAATCTGCAAAAAGCTTTTGAAATGATGAAGCAGGTCAGAGAAATTGGCTCTAAAAGAAACAAAAAAAACGATTTGGCTCTGAGCATTACACCAGGTATCTTCATCAAGAATGCCGCGAGCCTCCTCAATTGGCAACTTCACAGGACAAGACGAAAAACAATATGCAGCAGTTTGTTATCCAATCAGGCGCTTCATCGCCGCAGGTTTAGGGAAGGGCCAGCAGTACTCATTGGGGACGGGACCGTTCACATTGCACTCAAAGAAGGAGAACATAGGAAACCAGATGCGGGCTCGCCGACTCTGCTGGTACGCCCGAGTATTGGCCAGAGTGTGGTAGTACAGGAAGAGTCTGGTAGTGATATAGAAGGCTATAAACACATCAATGGAGTAGTGTTCATGGGCAGCCAGGATGAAGAAGATCCCAAAGAGGTTGAGGACCCAAGACAAGGTGTGGATAAAATTCCAACTCCGTGGAGTGTCTGAGAGAACAAAAAAAAAAGAAATTTGTTTCAATACCACTCATACAAGCTTCAAGCTCTGACTGTAGTTTTAGTGTTGTCCTTTTGGAACGTTAACATGCTCCAGTTGTATGAACAAGCAGTTAAAGTGAACCATCTCACTCCTAAAATTTTGGGAGGCTTCATTTGAGTTAATATAAACATTGTTTTGTCAGACAGTACAATCATGGTAGAGAGAAAATCCATCTATCAATTTAAGTGCATATATTATCAGCTCTTGTATATATTATCAGGTCTTAATCAGCAAGGGATTTAAAATAAATCAAAGAGTGAAAACTAGTGAAAAACTAAATACAACACAGAACCCTCAAAGTTAAAGGGGAAGCACTTATTGCTTTGACTATATGTAATTTCACAGGAGATTTATCAGTTTAGAGAATTTATGCACAGCAGTAAAACAGTAAACTAATTTATTGATTCAATAAAAGTCCCTAACAATCATTTGGGTAGATTTTTTTAAATAGTTTAAATATCTGTAGCATTTTATTTTTTTTGCTCTTAGAAATTCTTTCTTCAAGTTTTCTTCAGCCATTATAATTTCAAGGCCTCTAATCCCACCAGCTGCATTAAAGCAGAGGTTCTGTTATAGTGCGGATACTTTTTGGCTCACACTTCGAGCCACCGTGAATTCTCAATGGCAACAGGAGAGTTTGAAAAAAAAATTCTGGTTTATTTTACAGAAAACAGGTCCATTCAGCAGGATAACGATCCAAAGAAAAAGCGGCAAATTTCTGCCTCCTGATTTTGCTAAAGCTATAAAGTGAATTCCCTTTTAATCCTTTTTCCATGTCTTTCCAATCGGGGCCAACATTCTTAAAGAGTGCTGTATATCAATTTATTTTATACGGAAAAATAAAAGCACATATATGAATATAAGCTACTCACACTCTGTAACAAAGAAGTTAAGCATTGTGAGAACCACAGTGTGGCCGCTGAACATGTAGTCTCCGCACGTATGTACCCCGGTGAGGGTCATCCCAAACCCGCTCCAGATGGCCACAGCTCGCTGCAGCTTGGCCCACATGTCGCCATACATCTACAACGACAGAACAAGATAAGCTACACCATACGGTGCCATCTCAGGAAGGACAAGAACGGGTGGAAAAAAAAAAGTACCACCTTTACCTTTCTAGTGCACTGCAGATGCTGCCCTGGAACGGACAGAGAGGTGACGAACATGGTGATGCATCGTAGCATGAAAACTGTCCCCATTAAGCTGCACATGCGTCGCAGAAGGATGGACCTGCAACTCATCACAAACAGGGAATTAGTGCCTGATATAATATCAGCCCCAGTCTATTTATAGAGCACTTTTCATGCAGCACACAGGCCAAACAAAAGACTTTAAATCTAAGAAAAACAGGAGCCAATATAAAGAGATAACTGAAAAAATTGGTTAATATAGGGAGCAAAAGAAAAAATGTACAGAAATAAACCATAAACAAAAGGTTATATTTTAATGTAATGAAGAGACTCAATTGTTAAATGTGATAGTAATATTATATCTGTTTGTCCACCTATATCATCTGCCTTTCCTAATCAAACTGCTTAAAAAATAAAAAAAAATACACAATACGACTTCTAAACAAATCCTCAAAACTACATTTAATTCAAACCACCAGGATGAAATTTGGAAAAACAATAAATAAGCAGAGCAAACAAATTATATTTCATATCAATATTGAGCCAAACTAAAAGTGCAAAAAAAAAAAAATCCAGTCTTAATTTAGGATTAAATCACATAATCTGATATGGTTTTATGGTGATAAAGTTTTAAGGAGCACTTGGTATAAATCCAACCATTTAACAGCCGACTTAGTGAAATTACCTGTGTTTGTGCAGCAGAAGAACCAGCAGCCAAATGTTACAGAGAATAACGCCACACGCCTCAGCCATAGCAAAAGCCCACGGTATCCTTGGCATGCTGCAGAAAAACATGAGAGCGATTTTTATCACAACAGACCAACATTTCCAAAATAACTGACATGACAGTCAGCCATCTCATCTCTCAGACTTCAGGATGCTTCTAAAGAAAGAAAAGCTTATGTTTCCTTTACAGGAACCACATGCGTATAAATATATAGCTTTAGATTTGATTGTTTTCATGGCTTTAAATGCTCCCTTGTCCGGATTCCACTGTTGATCCTGTTGTGCAGATAAGGCTTCCCTTATTTCCATAGATCTGCGAGCTAGCTGATAGTCTCGCTTCACCTCTGTGTGGGGAAAAAAAACAACTTGGAAGTTTTACCTTAACTTTAAGGACTGGAATGAAAAAGTTGGGTGCTTGCTCTTTCTATTAATACTTTCGTTGTTGCCTTTTTTAACTTCTGACTACATTGCAAATATAAATAGAAAGTAACCCAACTGCCACAAAGGTCAAGAGATGTTGCATCACCACATAATAAGGTATACTCATTAAGTTTCAAGTATCTGTGAAAGAATTCCAAGCTAAATATATTCTTCTGTTAAATCTTTTAAAGTGATTTTAATCCTTGGAATAAAGAGTAAATGTTGAAAGCAAAAAGAAACCACAGCTGAAGAAAGTTATAGGAAATTATGTTTAAAATTTACCACAACAAAAGATGGGGAAGAATCTAATGATGTCTCATATATAATAAAAAACATGAAACTTCCTATGGCCACCATGCAAAATATCGCATCAGATATTCACTGCAGATCACCCTGTATGAAGCATGTTCAGTTTAAAGCATCATGATGTGGGAAGGCTTCTCTTCAGCAAAGAGAACGGATGGAATTAAATAAAGGCCAATCATGGAGAAATTATCAAGAAAACCAGTTAGAAGCCTCAAAAGATGTCACGCCTTAAACATAAAGCCGGAACTCCAAGAAATAATTTTCATTAAAACATATTTCTGTGTTCCAATATCCTATCTGGAGTCCTGACCTCAGTATAATGATCTGCAGCAAGAACAGGCCAAAATCTCAATATTTCATTGCTCAAAGCAGCTGGAGTAATGACAAAGTGCCAAAAAAAAAGAGGGAATAAAGTTTATATGTGTTGACTGAGGTGAATAAAATTGCAATCTAAAAAAAAAAAAGCTTTTCAAATACTGTCAGGTAAGAGAATTGGGCAAAAAGTGAGCAGTAAATTTCAACAGAAAACCTTGAAATTTGTTCAGAAAGCCTGTCAAGATATTGGTCAAATCCACCACATAACAAGATCTGGATTTTTAAATAATAAAAAAATAAATGGGAGAATACTATCAAGTAGTATACAAAGGAACCTTGAAATAACTCCCCCAAATGGTTACTTTTATAATAATGATCATAAAGATGTGGGTCTTGTGACTAAGTCTACTTTATTTTCTGCTGAACAATAATTTCAGCCGGTTTCATTTCCCCAAATGTCTCCTGAAAGAGTTTCTAGACATCAGTTGTCCTCTGACACATTGAACGAGGTCACTAGAAACAAAACAAGACCCTTGATCATCTCTTTATGAAGCAAAGTTTTCTCATCAGGATTTTTAAAGAACAAATGAGTCTCATTTCATTGAGGTATTTTAGTTCTAATATCAGAAATATGTAAACATGTATCAGGAATCTGCTTTGTTTTCTTATAAGCACTGACCTGTCAAGGAAAATATCAGGCAGTGGAGGGTAGGTGCGCATGTCGGGGACCCTTTCGTGGACTATGACCATGACGAAGGAAGTGAACCCGAACACAAACACCACATAGACGGAGCTTAACACCGTCTTCCAGTATTCAGGATCCAGGCGCCTCATCTGCTGCTTGTATTTCCCGTTGGTGTACTGCTGGTACTCCTCCCCCACAGGAGCGGTGTTGGTGCTATCGCAGTCTCTGCTGGGGTCCCCATTGCACAGCCATTCCAAGTTACTCCCAGAACTGGACGGAGAGAGGCCATCGAAAGGGACGCCCAGCTCCTCCAGGACGTCAAGGTTCTGCTTCTGCAGCTTGCGGACAGACATCATCAGCCTCTTGATGTCGCCCAGCACCTTGAGCTCCAGAGGCGGTGAGCGGAGGTCGTATTCACTGAGAGCAAGCAGGCTGGTGCCGTCCAGTCGATGCTTGTTGCACAGCAGGTCAACATAGTCGCAGAAACCTTCTTCCTTTAGCCACCTGGCAACGTGTTTGGGGGTCCAATATCTGACACTGAGCTGGGTCATTTTCTTCTCACGCCAAAGGCTGAAACAAATTGGGTTTTGTTATGATAAAAAATGATAAAACATGCATATTTATATATATATTAGCTGAGATCTGACCTCACAAGTATGGAATAAAATTGCTGAGAAAAAAGGCATCGACTGGATTATTTACAGGTGAATGCTTAACCAGTTTCTTTGATAAGTGACCTACAGATTCTCATTTCTTTTCACCAGAAAGCTTAGAAGAACAATAGAGGTCCTTCTCAAATTAGCATATTGTGAAAAAGTTCATTAGTTTCCATAATGTAATGATAAAACTTGAACATTGATATATTTTAGATTCATTGCACACTAACTGAAATATTTCAGGTATTTTATTGTCTTAATACGGATGGCAATCTTACCCATGATTGGGGTTTTGAGTTATCTTTTAAAGGCCTCAGGAATCTTTTGCAGCTGTTTAGAGTTAATTTCTTGATTCAGATGATTAGGTGCATAGCTCGTTTAGAGACCTTTTTCATGATATTCTAATTTTGTGATAGGAATTTGGGGTTTTCATGAGCTGTATGTCAAAATCATCCATATTAAGACAATAAAAGACCTGAAATATTTCAGTTAGTTTGCAATGAATCTAAAACATATGAATGTTCAAGTTTTATTATTATGGAAAATAATTAACTTTATCACAATATGCTAATATTTTTAAAATGACCTGTATTCTGTCCCTTGATTGTAATAGTATGAAATAAATCCATGAGAAATATGATGCATGTCTCCATTTTTTTAATTATTTAAAAATAAAACAGACATTAAGCAATATTTCTATATTTCTCTTCATGACCTATATTACTTAGATGTTTACTCCATCTATAAACAAATAAAGGGAAAAAAAATCACTCAGATTTGAGCTGTAAACTCCCCTATTTCACCCATTAAACAACCAAAGGAATGTCTCCTAACTGACAACAAAATCTATAAATATCATTGATTAATAGGGAGGAAACCCACATATTTAGATGAGAGTTTTTATATGAAGAACAAGAGTGAAGCTTTATTTATTTGGAGAGCAGCTTAGTGACTGCTGTTCAATCATCCACCCACATAAGCTCAAATCACTGATAGGCACCATCTCTACTGCTCAGAGCGATACCTACAGCTAAAGCTAACCTGCAAGGTTAAATACAAGCACAGTTCTATCTGAGGAAGATGTTAAAACACACACAATGATCCCCATTTATCTCTCTACACCCAAAGGCAATCTGTCCTGTAGCTAAAGCTAGCTACCTAGCGCTAAACGGTAGCTCGCTCGGTACATGTTCGCTCACCGGGTTTGGGATCCACCTGAAGACACGGAGCTTATTTACTCAGCTAACTAACCAGCATCTCTCGAAAATTAACCTACACCCTGTTGACGGAGCCTGACGAGACGACACTAGCTTAGTGGAAATCATGTTGGCCAAGATTCGCGCTGACGAGCTAAATGATGACAAGCCAATGCGATAATGTGCCGAATATCTGCGCACTTAAAAAAAAGGAAAAAAATAAAATAAAATAAAACTGCTAAAGTTAATCTACACTGACACTTTGTGGTCACACTGGGTACTGCAGTATTTCTTTTTACACATTTACCAAAACCTACATTCCTTCATAATGGAGCTTAGCTTCATTTTAATTTGTTGATTTAAATATAGAATTCTGATGGATAGATTTAGTAAATATATAAAATAAAACCTTAGTTATTTTATTGTATTTTATTATATTTTATCATTACATAAAAAAAAATGTTAGAACTGTAAATCTGTAGGTCATATGTTTATATCACTGTTTATCACACTTATCAAACTCTTCTTAAAACCCACCTCTTTTCTTTGGCCTTTGACACCATGTAGAGCGTTGATTATATGGATATACATTATTTTATTTGCTTTTATTTATTTTTATTTATTTTATGTTTTTGTGCAGCAATTTTAAAACCTTGTGTTTATTGAAATCATACTATATAAATAAAGTGGATTTGATTGGATATATATATATATTATTTATTTATTATTATTTAATAATATTTATTATTATTTATTTATTTATTTTTATTTATTTATTTATTTATTTATTTTTTAACCATTTTTCAAGGCTGCACTTTTAAAAAGATGAAATTGTCCAGAGAGCTGTTTCAAAGGAAATTTCTTTTTGTTTTTTAACTTGTGTAAAACAAAATGACAAATAAAATCTGTCTAAGTCTAGATACTTTTAAGACGAACATTTGAAGCAAAGTTATATTTACTAATAATTAGTTTTAATCTTTACTTGTTTATGCTTAAACCATCCTTAGCGAGGGTTAAACTAGCTGGATATAAAATGTATTTAGATTTATTAACTTTTATTTTTCTTGCTCAGAACCATATATTTTCAGTAGAGTTGATGTGCAATGGCGAAATATTATACTGTATTATTTATTCAAAACTTGCTTTGTTATTGGTTTGGATTAATAGTGATCTTGGAACACCCAGTTTGAAGTTTCAACTATCTATCTATTTAAGTTAAGGAATTTTGAGATAGTTGCACATTTTCAGGTTTCCAAATGCAATATTCATGCACCAATTGCTCTGACCGCGAAAGTGACCCACAGCATGATAGTGCCACTATAATACTTAACAGTTAGGACAGGACGGACTTCTTTTGTTTAAAAGCCTAACTTTATTAAATCTAAACATTCATCTTGTCATAATGGACAGATACTGTACTGTAGTTTAAAACCTTTACCAAGAACATGTTTGGCTTCTACGTATGCAACAAAAGTTAGATGCATACTTTAAGGTGCCAATTTTGAAATAAGTAGCCAACAAATTTTTTTGTAAACAATGTAAAATTGGCTCCGCTGTCGACAAAACCCGTGTGTTCCAGCATTTTGCATTCTAGGATAGGCCTTGGGCTAGTTACTTTTAGACCTCCTGCAAATTTTTCCCTTTACTAAGAGGTAGAGTTGAATTTCAACAGACTTTTGTGTTCCAGATAAACAATAAACCAAACCATACCTCTATAACCAATTTCAAAACCGGTGATCTGTGATTTAAGAAATTTATCTCTACTAAATTTGATGTGAATATAGTCTAGAATCATGCATTTACCTTGTTGGTTAGATTTCTCCCAAATCGGGAAATTCTTTCATGAAAAAATAATGTGAGCAGAAACTATTTGACATGTTTTTTTACATGTTGGCTCCATCTTCATGGCTCTAGAAGTTTGACTATTGCGTTTAAACAGAAAAAGCATAGAAATATTTTAAAATATCTACAGATTTGATGACATTTATTTGTTTATCCATTTCCGGTTTTTTCTAGAAAGTTTTAAAAATGTTTTAAAAATATCCCAGTACATCTAGAAATATAATGTATTACTTGTATTGTTTCTCATTTATTTGGTTCTTTATAAAATGGAATAAAGAAAACCATTAATAACAGCGGTTTAGAGTACACATTCACAGAAAAGGCCAGAGATTTAATTTTAGAACAGACACCTGTCTCTGTCATTTCCAACATGGCTGCAGTAAAACTCCAACAGTTTAGAAAAACATTTGCTATCCTTAAGGAATCTAGAGAATAAATGATCCTAAATTTGTTGGACTTTTGTTTTGTATTTGTTCAACATGCAGGAAAAAGGCAATGCAGTTTCTTGTGTCACCGCCTCTTTAAAAGAGCTGCAGAGGGTTTTGTATGGAGGTAAACGATTTGGGAATCATGTGGATGAAGTCTGGCCAAATCTCTTCATTGGGGACATGTAAGTTTTAACTTTAACATTTGTTTCTCCTCAAGCCTGTTTCAAAATACTGTGACTGCTTGCTCTCTCCTCAGGTCTGTTGCCAACGACCGCTACAGTTTGTGGAAGCTGGGAATTACTCATGTTGTGAACGCAGCTCATGGGAGGATGCACTGTCAGGGGAGCCATGACTTTTATGGATCCACAGTGGAATATTATGGAGTCCCCGCTGATGACTCACCAAATTTTGACCTTTCTCGCTACTTCTTTCCAACTGCTGAGTATATTCATAACTCACTCAATACAAATGGTAGTAAATACTTGTAGAATTGATCAATTTTCATGCTTTATTTAAGAAAAAAGCAATACTCTCCACTTGAATCTGTTTTCTACCTTTGTAGCTCGTGTTTTGGTGCACTGTGCAGTTGGAGTGAGCAGGTCAGCATCACTTGTCCTGGCCTACCTCATGATTTACCATTCCTACAGCCTGCTGGAAGCCATCAATAAGGTCAAAGAGAGCAGGTGGATTTTCCCAAACAGAGGTTTCCTAAGGCAGCTGTGTGCTTTGGAACTGAAACTACAAAAAAGCTCCTGTTTGGCCTGCAAGAACGTCAGCTTTGCTCAAAATGAGTGATATCATTTGCCCCTGCCAGACTTACTGTTTTTTGTTTGTTTTGTTATTTTCAGATAAAATTTTATTTAAAATACTTAGAAATACTCATTGCATGTCGCTAGCTGTCTAAAGGAGCTATACGGCTACCCACAATCCTTTGCATGACACAGCCCACCGCACAGAGTTAAAAATACCTTAGGGCCAGGATAGAATTTCTTTTTTTTTTTGAGAATAAGGTCATAATATTACGTGAATGAAGTCATAAAATTACGAGAATAAAGTTGTAGTATTATGAAAATAAAGTCATAACATTACGAGAATAAACTTGTAGTATTATAAAAATAGAGATGAAAAATAACAAGAATGAATTTATCAGCTTTGAGCTCTGACCAGCACCACCAAACAGCAACCTGAGTCCATTTTGACAAACTGCTCAATTTGATGCTGATGTGCTAAAAGATTTCCTTATTTGTCAAACTGATGCCAAAGTATAACTTCACATGATGCTCGACATTCCGCATATTAGGGAATGAAATGCTTCTTGTAAGAGTTGTCATAAAATACAACTTTATTCTCGTAATATTAGGACTTTAGTCTTGTATTGTTACGACTCTATAACCAAAATTTTATGACTATTCTAGTTGTGACTTTATTTTCATAATTTTATGACTTTATTCTCGAAATAAAAGTAACTAAAATCTGTAGCCTGGCCCTAATAATCTGTTGTAATGTCCTCACCTTCAAATATTTTTGGTTTTGTGTTCGAGAGTTTAATCTTTTCTCTACAGTTGTGTAACTTTTGATTTTTGTGGTTCTTTTTTCGAAAGCCTGTAGTTCCAGTTTGACCCACATCATTCCTGTGTGTGTGTTCAGTGCGTAATGACATCCATAAGGCGAAAGGCTGTCTGAATTCACTACAGCAGTCCTTTCCTACCCTGGATGGTGATCTTACTGTTGACCACTGTTGTAGAAAGGTAAAGGGATAAGAGCTAGAAACAGGAGCCAAGAACTACAAATTGAGGTATTTGGATCGAGCCTTAGGATACCTTTTCCCTGAAAAGCCATTAATNTCACTTGTCCTGGCCTACCTCATGATTTACCATTCCTACAGCCTGCTGGAAGCCATCAATAAGGTCAAAGAGAGCAGGTGGATTTTCCCAAACAGTGGTTTCCTAAGGCAGCTGTGTGCTTTGGAACTGAAACTACTGGCCTGCAAGAACATCAGCTTTGCTCAGAATGAGTGATATCATTTGCACCTGCAAGCAGAGGGAGACTCAGAGTCAACCTGGAGCAGAAGCAAACTAAGTGGCTGTAGGATACCTCCCAGCCAGCAGGGAGCGCCCAAGAGTTCATGAATTCTCACACAGATGTTAGGTACTTTTTGTGTGTGGCATATTTACTGTTTTTTGTTTTTGTCTTTTTTTTTTTTTTTAGAATTTAAGTGTTGATATTTTCAGATTAGATTTTATATAAAAAAAACTAGAAATAATCATCACATTAAATAAAATCTACTTCTGCCAAGCAGAAGGTTTAGGCTTGATTTGAATACCTCAAATTGGTAAGGACATGCAAAAAAGGCTTCTGCAGTCGCTATAAAAATGCTATCCAAAATGTGCTTGCAGTAAGAAAAGAGGTACGAACAGAAAGCAGAATGCATCCTAATACCAATGCATTTAGCATAGCGACCCCCTGATGTCCCAAGCTGTCTATAGGAGCTATACGGTTACCCACAATCCTTTGCATGACACAGCCCACCTCACAGAGTTAAAAATACATTATTTTGTGTCATGTACTCTGAGTGAAACGGCAAGGTATTAGGTCCAGGATAGAAGTTTTTTTTCTAATATTACGTGAATAAAGTCATAAAATTACGAGAATAAAGTTGTAGTATTATGAAAATGAAATTAATGACATTACGAGAATAAAGTTGTAATATTATGAAAATAAAGTTGGAAAAATAACGAGAATGAAATCATCAGCTTTGAGCTCTGACCAGCATATGATGGCCGACCAGCATCACCAAACAACAACCTGAGTCCATTTTGACAAACTGCCCATTTTGATGCTGATGTGCTAAAAGAGTACAAGTATAACTTCACATGATGCTCGACATTCCACATTTCAGGGAATAAAATGCTTCTTGTAAGAGTTGTCATGAAATACAACTTTATTCTCGTAATATTAGGACTTTAGTCTTGTATTGTTACGACTTTATAGCCAAAATTGTATGACTATTCTTGTTGTGACTTTATTCTCATAATATTATGACTTTATACTCGAAATAAAAAAATAAAATAAAATCTGTAGCCTGGCCCTAATAATATGTTTTAGTGTCCTCACCTTCAAATATTTTTGGTTTTGTGTTCGAGAGTTTAATCTTTTCTCTACAGTTGTGTAACTTTTGATTTTTGTGGGGGGTTTTTTGAAAAAAGCTGTAGTTCCAGTTTGACCAGCATAATTCCTGTGTGTGTTCACTGGGTAATGACATCCACAAGGCTGAAGGCTGTCTGAATTCACTACACCAGTCCAAGGTTCCTTTCCTACCCTGGATGGTGATCTTACTGTTGACCACTGTTGTAGAAAGGTAAAGGGATAAGAGCTAGAAACAGGAGCCAAGAGCTACAAATAGAGGTATTTAGACCGAGCCTTAGGATACCTTTTCCCTGAAAAGCCATTAATAAATGTTAATTATTCCACTTACAATATTAACATTCAACTCTTCAAGATAAGNTTCCACTTACAATATTAACATTCAACTCTTCAAGATAAGAGCTGTATATTTGATCAACTTTAACAGTTGCTATTTGCTTTCTAATGCATTTTTCATGTGTTGGCTGCTGTTTGATTCAAATACCTTAATACATTCCAGCTCATGTGATGATAGATAATGCTTCTCAAAACCAAACTACAACCTTCCAGAAAGCAACTACAAAAAAGTTACACAAATATAGCAAACAGCTTCAACACATGCTGCAACACATGAAGACGCATAGATTTGCATGTGTGTCACAGAAAATGTCAGAAAAAGAATGTATTTTTGCCAAACTATCCCTATGATAAATTAACTATCAACAGGCAGTATCCTGCGTCCTGTTCCCACCTCCTTCCTCACTGTCAGCTCTTTCGAATATCATTTATCCTAGTGACCGCTGACGCATTTCCGCTTTGGCCTTAGTGCCCTAACTGGTTAGAGCTACTTAATAGCAGGCAGTGAGAGGATAAGTTCAGCTTCAAGATTGTCAGTTTATCACAACCCTTTGTTCAAACCAGCCATAAAATAGCTACTGAGGTTTCATTCTCCCTCTTCCCAAAGGCTTGGATATATACTGTAGGCTACAAAGAAGAAATGACCATCAGTCAACATCAATACAATACGAACCGATGCTTCATAGTTTTTAATTTTTGCTCTTTGAAATAATACGAATTAGATGGTGGTCAAAAAAGTCCTACCGCTGCATGAGCAACTGTGTAAATAATGGTCCAGTGTGATTGTATCCCTAGTTGGAAACCTAATATTCTGTCTTAATTGTGTAAGTCAATTGGAGAGCTTTTTGGTGATAAAATA